AAAAAAAAATTGTAAACCCTACTACATCGATATCTAGAGAGCCATGTGGGCTGTGGTGGAGACGCCATGGCAGTGAGGCATCTGGAGAGGGAGAGGGGCAGTTCTTTAGAACACACGCTCAGGCAGATCAAAGAAGTGGCTGTGACACATACTGATGGAGACTGTCACTTAACTAGTGTACGCTAGCATGAAGTTGGATACTTATTTCTTACTTCTCTTAAGGAAGATATAAAAAGCAGACAATATAATTTAGCTGAAAAATAGTTTCACTACATAAAAACAATGACAATTAAAATTGATGGGTCAGGTATGAGTACATACTGTTGTTTTTTTGTAAATAAAGAACCTCTAGAAAAAAATTCAGATTTCTTAACCTCTGCGGTCTTTTCTTCAGGAAGCTTTTAACTATTTGATATAGCCAACTCTAACCAATTGAAAACACATCAAAATATATATGAGAATACTAGAAGTTGTATATGTTCAGTGTGAAGTGTCCTCATGATAAATCTGCATATGCTGGCCATGACCAACCAGGGACTTTCTTGGTTTGGTGAACAAAATAAAATAATAGAAAACAACAATTACCTTAATAAAGTTTAATGAAATAGCCATATACTATTCCTGAGAATTTAGATGAATTAAATTGTATATTTTGTAAATAACTGAGATAATTATATTAAAAAGCTTAAATTAGATTCTAAGTTATTTCAATGACTAGTGACTTAGCTTCAGCTATCATATATGTCATACATAAAGCCCAAAGAAAAGGCCTCCAAACTGCTACAGCAATGAAAAAAAGGTGTTCATTCACTTGAGTTGTAGCTTGACACCTAACTTAAGACCATACCTTGATTGAAACTTTGTGCTTGGTGAAAGAACGACTCCTGAGGAGCTGGTAAATACAATGAATGGGCAGAAACCCAGTGATGCTGGCACTCAGGTTGCTGGTGACAGGGACCCGAACTGCATGAGCTGTGACAACCTGGAAAGGAAAAACAGTTCTTACACGTTTACTAGGACCAAACACAAAATTATTTTGAAGAGGGGACTTCCAGGAAGATGGCGACGGAGTGACACATACCAGAGGGACTCCGCAGAATCCAGCCCAGTAGAGTTACTTAGAGGGAATTTTAACACAACTGGAACGCAGGAGGAGCATCATAAAGATAAGTAGGTAGAGAACCATGGTGTTTTGAGGGGCTGGGGGCTTTTGGCTTACCTCAGTGGAAGCCGGCTGGGGCTTGACTTGGCCCCGCTACTGTCCTTGTTGGAGCCGGGACCATTTGGAGCCTGTAAGGGGATTTGGTCTCAACACAGCCAAAGTTTGCCCCCCACCGGCCTTAGGGCAGGGACTGGACCCTTGCAGCTCCATGGGCAGGGATAGGGGTTCTGTTAGTGTAGCTTTTGTTTACATCTCTGCTCTGTTCTCCCACCATCCAGAGGCCTGCTCAGGGGCTTTTTCTCAGCACAGTCACACCTTGCCACCGCTGCCTCGGGGTAGGGACAAAACTCTTGCAGCTCCACGGAAGGGGAGTGGGACTCAGCTACATAGTTGCTTTTCTTTCCCTCACTCCCCTATATCCCCCCACACCCCAGTCTTACTTTAAATTTATTTTTTCTTTCTCCTCTGTCTCTTTCCGGTTCTCTCACACACCACTGCTGACCTCCAGACCACTCCCTGTACGTAGCCTAGGGCACTTACGCCTGCACCACACCCAGCTAGGTGAGCTCCACCCTGTGTAGTTAGCCCGAGGCTAGGGAAAGCCCTGCTTCCCCACCAGGGGATACTCTGCCCAACTTCTCACAGGGGAATTCCTGCCTGTGTACCTGGGGGTATAAGGCAGCTTGGCCAACACTCATCAACATAACAAGCTGTTTCAGGAACCTCTACCCAACCTCCGCAACACAAAAACAGGCAACCCACCAGCCTTCTGAGGCACTCCCCTGATAGGAAAGCCACAGGAAGATAAAGGGGTAGGTTAATCCCATAGAAATAATTAACTGTTGGCAGTTCAAAGAAGCATTCCTACAAGTCCCCCCAGAGAGAGCCAGTGCTCTTCCACTCCCTGGAAAATGGCACCCGGCTCCTCTAAAACAATGCAACGCAAACCGCCATCAGCCCCAACCACCTCAACAAAAAAACAGGAGAAACAAAAGG